GTTTTTGTTTCTAGATCCTCCTCCCTCTCTCCCTCCAGGCTGCTACTGAGTGATCAACTTTCCTTCCACCATTTCTTTCTGCTATGCTCTTTTGGTGTTGGAGCCAACTGACCATTCACGGAATCTCCTAAGAACCATAAGCCAAAGCAACCTTGCTTTCCTTTACATTGTGGCGGCATGCATTTCTCAGTAATGGGAAAGAGGATATATATGCTTATAAATGTTTGTAACATTCTTTCTTTGTAGTACATAGCAGGGCCAATCACTCTCCATCATCGGGGCAGTTTCTGAGGAAGGGAGGACAACCTGGAGCTTCTCCACTTCTCTGCCATCTGCAGTCCACTCGGTTTACTTGGAAACTTCTGCAGTTGGGGCAGGTGTAAGTTAAATCATACTGATTCTCTTTCTAAAGGATCATCTGCTCCAATGGTATTACTTAGACCTGATTGGATCTTGGTCTTGTGTGTTCCTGGGGCAAGAGTCTGAGCTCCAAACCTCTCATCCACAAAGAAGGATTTGAAGGCTTAGTGTGCACTGAGGCTGGGACACAAGGAGGCAGGTTCTGCAGAATCCAGACTCAGACTCAGCCCAGGGGGAGGCCTTCAGTGAGATGCTGCTGCTTCAATCCCTACTTAGTAGCCCTGGATTACACTGCATGAAAATGGCAGAGGAATTAGTGTTCAACAACAAGAGTGAGCCCTGAGGACTCTGTCTTCTGAGCCAAATAGCTACCCAGAGACCATCCACCATACAGAACCCACAGTGATGGGAAGAAGGGGAGTCATAATCAGAAACTCACCTGGCCGCTGCCTCCAGCTGTTCTTTCCTAGAAGGAGAAGAGGGAGAGAAAATAAACAAAGCATAAATTACTTGGAATGGCTGCATACTTCCCCAAAATATGTTCCATGGCTTCCCTTAGACAGTGAGGGATACACATCATCTTGTCCCACAAGTCCAAGATGTGGAGCTGTCCCACATCTTGGACTTGTGGGACAAGACAATGTGTATGGACAGGAACCAAGGAGAGAGGCAGGCTTCCCCAGGCAGGCTCAAGGCTGCTGCAGCCATAGGGCTCTGCAGTCCCAAGATTCTCATCATTGGTCCATTCATACCCCAGATGGTTTGCTGAGCACCTTCTCTTCCCAGGCCCGCTGCTTGGCTTGGAAGATTTGTTGGTTGATGAGGACAGACTAGAAAGCCAAAACCCACGAACTGGGCTGCACTCTTGGCCCCTTCATGGACTCTCTGGGTCACATTAAGCAAGCTAATTAATCTCAGTAACGTCTGAGTCTTTTAACATGAGGTTATGAAAAATGAAGTTACTCCTCCTTGCTTTCTAGAATATTCTAAATGTTAAATAAGGTAGCATGCATAAAAACAGATTCGATATTGTTTGGCTGTAGGGAATGGTATCTGCATATCATCCACCCTTCTGGTCTGAGAAAGAGTAAGTTCTGGGTACACAGCGGACTATTTTTGGCCAAGTCACTCCTACTGGGTGGGCTTGAGTCTTCTTACTTCTGCTTCAGTGGTAATGTTTTCAAAGCCTGGATAGATGCATATTAAAATTAAGTACAATTAACATTAATTGCCTAGGTGCTCTAGTACTATGGCCAATGACTAACATTGGGCAACACAACTGTATAACATATTGAATGATATGAAATTCCACAGTTACTTTCAAAGCAAAGTACCGGTTGTTCTGTTGAGGGAAAGCAAACTCTAGTTTTTTCTACATTCTCTGTTCTACCCCCAGCATCATCCTGCCAGCAGATTTCTAACACCTACTGTACTAAGTCCGTGCATTCTACACTGCTCTACAAATCGGAAGACCTGAGTTTGGTTATGCCCACCATGACTTTTGTTTTCTGGAAGTTCTTGAACTTCTATGAGGTCTCAGTTTCTTTTTATCTAAAATGGAGTTTAGATTTGAAAGTTTCTGAAGGTCTTTGTAATTAAAAAACAGTGAGCACATCATTATATGTAGCAATAAAAATGAACATATAATGAACATTGCTGGCCTCACACATACCTCTGCAAAGTAGCAAAGGGTTGTGCCTAGCAGGGAGTTCATAATGACTATGGCACCATCTCTGCAGGTGGACTATACAGCTTCATCCTTCAAAAACCTTAGCAGGCATGTGACTGTTCTAGACTCTGTAGAGGACAGTCTGGCAGCTCCTCAATAAGATAAGCACAGAGTTGTTGACTGTACTCAGAAGTAAAGCCCCCATGCCTGAGATGAATACACACTTCTCAAACGAAGAAATACAAGTGGGAAATAAATATATGAAAAAATGTTCAACATCATTAGTCACTGGAGAAATATGAATTCAAACAACACCGAGATTCCACCTCACCCCAGAAAGAATGGCTAACACCAAGTAGTCAGCCAATAAAAAATGTTGGAGAAGCTGTGGGGAAAAAGGAACCCTTCTCCATTGTTGGTCAGAGTGCAGACTGGTATAACCATTATGGAAATTAGTGTAGAGTTTCCTCAGAAAACGAGGATTGGAGATCCAATTCAAGCCAGTTATTTCCCTCTTGTGTATTCTTCCAGAAGTACTGAAAATATCATACCACAGTGATTTATGTGCATCCATGTTTATAGCAGCACAATCTATCACAGCAAAATCTTGGAAGTAACCCAGATGCCCATCAACTGAGGAATGAATAAAGAAGATGTGATATTTTTACACAATGGAGTATTATTTGGCTATAAAAATGATAGATTTGTGAATTTCATCAGTAAATGGATACAGTTAGAGACCATACTCCTAAGTGAAATAAGTCAGACCCACATGTGCAAACATCATAATCTGCTTAGTGTAAGAACCTAAAAGAGTAAATAAAATCTGAAGGGTACAGTAGATACTGTGAAAGGGAATAAACTTATTCAGAAGGAAGGAACTACTGAGATGAGAAGGACAGGAGAGGGAGTGGGGGAAGGAGATATATCTATGTATGTAAGCAGGATGGATTGGACAATTGTATTGTGGATTTCTGCTGGTCTATGAAAAGGAGCAGTTCATGTTTAAATTTTCTTCTTTTTTCTCTCTTCTTAATTTCTTATAATTTTTTATTTTTTTCCTTTCTCTTTGCAATTTTTCATGCATATGTCTGGAAATCTGAACAACTAATTTGAAGATAACACTATGCAATACAACAAATACTGTCAAATTTATATTATCTTGATTAATATAATTCTGAATCATTTGTAACATTTTCTTTTCAATATTATTTTGTATTCACTTTTAAAAAATTAAAACATTATATCCCCCAAATAACTGAAAATATGTCTGCACAATAACATATGCTTAAATTTTCACAGCAGTATTTTTCATAAGAGTTAAAAAACAACCTCAATGAGAGTGAAAATAGCCTCAACGTCTATCAAGTGATGAATGTACAAACATAGTAGAGTACATGTAGTCGGGCACAATTTAACTATAAAAGGAGCATAATTCTAATGAAAGCTACAAATGGATGAAACTTGAAATGATTATTCTAAGAAAAAAGCATGCCTAGAAGATAACACATCGTATGATTTGCATTATATGAAATGTTCACAATAGGCAGAAGAGAAACCAGAAGTAGATTAGTGATTGTAGGGGTGGGGAGAGAAAGAGGGAACAGGGAGCAGCTGCTAATGAATACAGGGTTTCTTTCCACAGCAATGACCCTCTTCTGGACTTAGATAGTGACCAGTGTGAACATACTCAGAACCTTTGACTTATCCACTTGAACATGCATGTGAAATCCTCTTTAGGTTGTAAAATGTATCTCAGTAAAATTGTTTTTAAAAAGTAAGCAAAAATCCTTTGGGAGGTAGGTGAGGACACACAGGCTTATTGTCAGCTGGTTCTCTGTCATTATCATATGACCAGGAGCTGGGAATTCAGGTACATTCTCTTCCCAAGGGACTGCTTTGCTTCAAAATGTTTGCTAAGTGTATTTCTCTGGTGGCTTTATGCATTTGTCCTTGAAGAAAAGGAGAGAAGAAATGTTTCCTCTTAGTTTTAAAGCTAGCCCCATATCACAGCAGCTGTCTGAAGCACAATGTAGTCCTCTCAGTCTGACAGCCAGGACAATGTTTTATTTATAATGAATCAACCCAAAAGAATAGGCCTACTGCCAAGGCCTTGGGGTGCATAGCAAATGAAAATTGTTCTGATTCTGCATCCAGCATGATTGTATGCGCTCTTAATTTTGAGTTCAAGGTCATTATGTTCTTTAAAGGGGAAGCCACCTGCTCATTCTATCCATTTGCTTTATGCTTCATAAGCCGGGGTGACAACCTTCAGTCTGCAGTGGTTTGGCCCTTTTTGTTTCTGATATTGAAGTTGCATTGTTTATATACATTAATCACATTGTATATTTTCTATGTAGCAAACACAATTCCTCTGCACTCAAAAGAAAGAGGCAAAACTATGGAAGGCTGTGGTCAATGATGATGATGATGATGATGATGATGATGATGATGATGATGATGATGATGATGATGATGTGGCTAGTAGAATTTTAGAAGGAAGGAAAAGTATAAAAGTTACACAGTATTGTGAGTAAGTCTGATCACAAATCAGAAGACATGAAGAGTAACATCCCAAGCTTATCTATTTATTGAAGAGTTAATTCACCTCTCTATCTCTTTTATTTTTATTTTATTTTTCTATCTCTTTTGTAAGTCATTGGTCTCCTTTGTTTATTTTTTAGATCCCTGACCTACCCCTATATTCTCTCACTCTGAGCTCAGTATCATTTGCTAGCTGATCTCTGGGCTTTGACTCTTGAGCTTGTCTGATGTGTCTTTCTCTTTCTCTCTTGTCATTCTCCCTAAGCACAAGGCTGATTGTAGCATCCTCTGGCTGTTTCAGCCTCTTGGCTTCAGGATCAGTTAAACTCGTCAGCACATCGCCCATGTCTTTCCATTGTCCAGCCCAGTATTTAGCTCATACCATGCATGGGGCTCAAAGACACAGAGAAAGTGACTTGTGCCACCTGCAGCCCTTGAGAAGGAAATGGGCAATCGGAGGTCAGGCGGGGGAGACCCACAGGGCCTGGTCTCATGAGGTCATGAAGCTCACAGTCAGCCTTTGCATTTTAATCTGTGTTGTCTTCACCCACTGCAAGGTTTTATACAGGAAGATGGGTGGAGAGAACCCACATATCTTGCATTCCCTTAAATCTTTACCACTATGTGGTGATGGGAGTAGAAGGATGAATTGAAGCAGCATTCAGAGTCTGCTAACTGAAGGACTACTTGTCCACTATATGGCATACTATGACCCATCAAAATGACCTGACAGAAATGCACCAGAGCAGATCCTAACCCAGAAGCAAACTGCCCCTCTAGAGTTCCTTCCAAGGACTCTAGGAGCCCAGCAATCTGCCCACATACTTAAACTCAGTGCTCAGTATCCAACATCTGCAAAGGAACGGTCTGCGGTAGAAGCTCAAATAAAGACTGTGGGCTTTGGAGGCCGCTGTATAGGGCTGACATGGTCAAAATAGCTGACATGGTCAAAAGTTTCAGAGCCGCACTCATCTGTGCATGGAACCCAGTAACACCCACCTTCACCCTGTCTCCAAGTGTGAATTGGACCACTGTGTCAGTCACCCTAGGGGAAGGGACACAGCTGTGGGTGGGGTGTCCATGTTCGAGATGAGTTTAGTGCCAGGCATCCTGGTAGCTGCTGAGTCTGGATCAAATGAAGTAGGAACTTGGATACTTGAAACATGGACGCTCAAAACACTAATTTCCAGCTCTCTTTTCCTATATACTGGCCATAGGAAGAGGCATTTTTTTTCCTGAAGGCTTTCAATTCAGTCTCTCATCTCTAAGAACATCAAACAGCATCCCTGGGTCTCCAAATGAGTTTTCCTGCCTTCTTCTTCCTCTTCTCTTCCCTGAAGTCCAGGGTGGTCTGTGGCTCCCAGCTACAGCCAGGTTGGCAGAGCACCTAAGATTGACAGGACAGCTGAATACACTTATTCCTAAGTCTTCAGACTCTACTTCTACCCATACATTCAGTGGACATTTTCTGAACAGCTACTTCACCCTGTCCATCACATGGCCTCTGGCTGCAGACACAATCACTCACAGTGGGGCGCTTGTGAAATAGTGGTGCGTGGGCTCCGGTTCTAGAGATTGTGACTTTATTGCTTGGAGTGTAACCTGGGGGCGGGGGGGAGTCAAGATTATTTTAAACTCCTCGGTGGTGCTAACATGAAGCACACCTTGGGAACCATTCTCCCATCACCACTGAATGATATCCTGTAGGAATCTTGAGGGCATGATAGTACTACAGCCTACACAGACCACAGGAGGAAAAACCACCCACACCCTGATCGTTCAGACAAATGGCCACTTACCTGAAAAATGGAAAAGAAACGACTGATTCATAAAACCTCCATGTTGCTACTAGGTCAAGTCTGTTGGGGTTGGTAGCATAATACCTCCAGGCAGCCTGAGAAGGAAAGAGGGGCAGGAAAGACCAGAAATGACCTGATAGCACCTGAAAAATGCATAAGTTCTTGATTCCCATGACTTTGAAAGTGTCCTAGGCTGCCCCTCAGAGATGCTGAGGTTCTTGGTTTGTTGTCACTCCTTTGGGAAAAGAAACTTCCTGAACAATCTGGAGCTGTTGTTGTGCTGGGCCGGAGTTAAGGAAGACAAGATGGAGTGGAAAGAGAGAGAAGGATATAAGATCCATGGAAGGCAAAAACAAAACAAAAATCTAGGAACTATTCTTTCTAGAATTTTCCCAAACATTTCTCAAATAGATTAGAAAACAAACGAGGTCTTTTGTATCATGCCTGTGGTACTAAGAATGCCTGGGACATGAGGTTTTGATTTTAATGTGCTTGAACCTCTGGGATGTTCTGTGCTTTGGGGTTAGGAGGGGATAAAGAGAGACACTCTCTAAAATTGGGACTGGCCTAAAAGGTCACTATGAGGATGCCATCATCTGTCAGGCTGTGTCAGACCCACAGAGACACCACCACAGTGTGCACACGCTCACAAGTGGGGGGCCATCTGCTGGGCTATGGGTGGGACACTCTTCTATTTACCACGTTCCCACACCCCCAACAACACATAAAATCATGGTGCAGGAACTCCTTGTAAAATGTCAGAAGGAACTCGTTTGCCCTGCCCACATCCAACCGAGGGGAGAGCTGGTGATGGAGAGTGGACGAGGTGTCAAGAGTCTACTGGTCCCTCGCCATTGCCTGAGTAGGACAGACGAGCAGCATGTCTCTTTATTTTCATGCGTAAGAAGTAGCTCTATCTTGTGCATTAGGAGCTCTCTATCTTGAGGGATATGAGGAGACTGCATTTCTCTCTGGCTGAGTAACAGGACTACACACTGCCTCTTCTAGATGGGTCTCTAGGTCAGTGTGGAGTGAGGAGCAGAATAAGCCTGCATGGCCACAGGCCTAAGCAAAATTCTCTTCTCCAACATTAGCGATGAAAAGTTGATGAGTTCACCCTTGAGTCTTACATTTATTTTTTGCTTGGCCTAGAATTTGAATGGGAGAGCAATGAGACCATTGCCTTCAGCACACGCCGAGATAGATCGTGTAGCTAACCGTGGCTACTGCCTAAAGGGACCCACAAGTGTGCATGTGCAAGCAGGCCCTCTCCTACCTGGGTGTGCACATGCATGTGGATGGTGCATGCATGTACACCCACCCACTCACCCCCACCCCATTGTCCTAGGCCCCATTTCAGTTTATTTGCAGGCAGACAGACCTGGATGAGCTCAGCAGCTGGCTTCCTCCTTTTCTCAAAGTGCTTCTGACGGTGCTGTTCCTGCACCTTGAGTGCCAGGCCCGAGCCCAGGATGCCCTGGAGAAAAAAGCCAGACCACAGTCAGCCCTACCACACTGCACCCAGCACCTCAGTCCCACTGCTAGGGCAGCAGGAGGTGAAGGACTCAGTGGATCCATAATGACAACATTGCATGAAGGGGAAACAAATGGAGGGAGGTGGAAAGGATCTTTTTTCTTGAGGTAGTAGGCAGCTTAGATAAATGGAATAAACCTGAAGTCAGACAGGCCTGGGTTCCAATCCTGACAGCCACATCCACCCCTGAGATCCTGTCCCAGACTCTCACCATGATAAATCTCAGTTTCTCCCCTGGCCCACAGGATTACAGTACATCAAGCAAATAGTGAGATAACATAAAGACACTGCCTAGGAAGGCATAGCACAGAATAGATATGCAGTAAAAGCGAATTGAATTTAAAAAAAATATTTAGTCTATTGAAATGTCCCTTGGAAGATGCACTGGAGTCAAATTTTCCAAAAACTGAGGTGTTTTAATTTCCAGGTCAGATTTGTATGTGGATTAAGAGGATGGAAGAACTCACTTTTCAAGAGGCGAGAGCATTCAGACATAGGGCAGTACCCCTACATCTCTCACCTGTTTCGCCAAGGAGAAAACGAAAATTCCATTATATCTTCAAAGTGTAATAGCTTAGGAAAAAATACATAGGGCAAGGCTGCTGACAAGGAAAACCGTACTAACCGAAGAATGGTAGGTGAAGGCACAAGCAGAGGGATTGTTATTGTAGAAGATTCTTTGCAAGCTCTATGGTTAAGAGCCAGACTTTAGAAATGGCTGAGTTGAGACCCTTACCTTCACAACACAGAAAAATTTACTAACTGAATCAAATCTCAGCTCTTTGACCTGACAATGAGAGATAAATGGAGCATCAGACTCATGGTGCTGCCATGAAGATCCCGTGAGATGATCTAGCAAAGGATCGGGTTTATTTGCGCACCTGGGATTTTCTGCAAAGAGCCATCTATGATTATTTCATCTCTATTACCTTGGGCATGGCCTTGGGGAAGTTATTCTACCATATGCCGAGACTTACTCTTGAGAGATGTGCAATTTTCATATATGGCAGTAAAAGACAGGGCAAAGGAAAGGAGCTTCAATATATGAAGAACCTGACCGATGCCAGGTGCTGGGAGTAACGGATGAAAGGGGATCCTAACTCCTCGTGACCTCAGTCTTTCTAGGTGAGACAGGTAGTGACTGTGCAGCTCCAGCACTGAGTCGGAAATGCCTTCTTGGGCTGGCGAGATAGCTCAGTGCTCTAAAGCGCCTACTTAGGCAAGCTCAGGCAGGCATAAGGGACCATGGTTTGATCTCCAGCACCACATGCAGCACCAGCCCTGCCCTCAGTGTGGGATGACGTGGCAAAAAAAAAAAAGAAACAAAGAAACAAAGAAAAAAGAAACAAAGAAATGCCTTCTTGGAGCTATGCCCTAAAGAGGGAGTGATTTACTCAGCTGACAAAAGGAACATTGAGCTTTTTCTCGGGACGGTGGAGCCTGGGTAGCGTCGCTGTTACTCTGCGGAGAGGACTGTTGGTATTGGCGAAGTCGAAGTTAGGACTGGAGGCACTTTGCTGTCTTCAATCAAGTTGAGGGTATAAAAATGCAGAGCAATAAGACCTTTAACTTGGAGAAGCAGAACCATACTCCAAGGAAGCACCATCAGCATCACCACCAGCAGCAGCAGCAGCAGCAGCAACAGCAGCAGCAGCCACCGCCACCAATACCTGCAAATGGGCAGCAAGCCAGTAGCCAAAATGAAGGTTTGACTATTGACCTGAAGAATTTTAGGAA